GAGAGAGAGAGAGAGAGAGAGAGAGAGAGAGAGAGAGAGAGAGAGAGAGAGAGAGAGAGAGAGAGAGAGAGAGAGAGATGGCTTTCTGCAGCTATCCACTAGCATAGTGGTCGATTTGACCTCCCAGGAGCCAGCTGCTGAAGCTGAGGAGGTGCATAGGGAAGAGGAGCGGGGGCAAGGTCCCACCTACTCGGATTTTTGGGGATCTATGGTCAGAAATGGACAATCTGGGTAAATGGGACGTTGATCCAACAGAGAAGAAAGAGGAGTGTGAAGGAGATCTGTCGAGCATCTCCGTTTTCATTTCTTTCAGTCCGTTGCGGAAATGCTCAACTCAGCTTGGCTTGGCTTGGCTCAATTGGGTCTATATGTTTCTGCAGACGTTTTGTTATGGAATTACTCAAGTCTTCTGGAAATCTCTCAGCTCAGTGAAGATATCCGTGAAGGAGCGAGCAAGGGGAGAAGGTTGTTGGGTCTATGTTTCTGCAGATGTTACGGACCTGGAGTGGTAGATCACACCCAATTAGAGCAAAAAGGACTGGCCCTCCCATGGTGCAAGCGGTGCCAGCAAGCCTTCCCGTCCCGCCGCCCCAGAAACCATGGAACATATCTTCATGCAATGCCCATCAGCAATGCTTAGTAATACCCTGGGATTAGTAATACCGTTGGTGGGACGTGATCTGGTGACAAATGGATCCAGGCATTGACTGGCCCTGGGATTGGCGAGCAATCCTTGCAGGATAGTGGCCTCAGCGTCAAGACAGCGCCTTTGTCCATCTCAGAATTCTGCGTAATTCTGCACAGATTGGCTGGGGCACGAACTCGGAGGGTTGATGGTCTTAACCCCCTAACCTGGGGGTGATGGAGTGGAGATGGAACACAGGGACGGCAGGCAGAAGAACCGACGAATAAAAAGGGATTACAGACTGGTCTTCACTATGTGGACACTGGACAAATGTACCCCCCACATGTCCCCTTCGCCACCCCGCCACATTCCCAGACCCCTTCCCCCACGACGACCTCTCCCTGGTAGATCTCTCTTGACTTATACACTTCTTATTATGCTGTTAACAGCCTCTAGTAGGCGGTGGAGGAAATGGTGGCCCCCATGGAGCCTGCCCCCGCCATCGGCGCCAGTAGGCACTTGGATGATCACAATGAAGCTGGCAGAGTTTGTCCAAGATATAGTGATCAATTCTTCTCATGAAAGAAAGGCCTATAGGGTGACTCTCTTCATGCAAAATCTTCTTGACTCTCCTCATGCTCCCATAGCCTTGGTAATCAGGGAAGCTGGGGCCAGTTCCCAGCAGGTGCTGCTCCCCACCAATAGATTGAGCCTTCTTTTTTTTTGTTTTAAAAAGAGAGGTTGCGGAGAATGCTGAGCTTCTGAATAGTTGCTAGAGCAGGAAAGAAGGAGAGGGAAAAAGTGAGCTGTTCCAAAGGAAAAAGGACTACTTGTGGCGTCAGGGTTAATGACTGTCAAGCAGCTTCAAGCTTATAAATAGTAATGATCTGTAAATCTCCAAGTTACTCCTTTTGTGATTTTTTTCTTTTTTTCTTTTTGAAAGCCTTTATTAACAGAGGGCCGGCACAATCCCCAAGGCTTACATTGAGTTCAGGTTTCAGAGACAGGAAGGTCACCAAGCTTAACCCCATTAACAGGTGCCACCCCTGTACAACTTCCCACAGTCATCGACCCCAGTTCACCTTCTCCAACCTATATTGTAAATTCCGTCAAGATTTTGGTAGCGCCGTAGCAGAGAATGACTATACGGAAAAAAAGAATGAAAAACATGATGGGGGAGCGCACCTATCTTATGAATGCTATCCCTGCCTGATTCCAGCTTGCATATGGAGGAAGATTGACTACCATGTCCAGTAACCGGCCCCTCTAATCTGTATCATTGAGATTCATTGTTTTCATTTCCTCTGTCACATGGGAGTAGCTGCTGACAGCATTGTACCCAGCAGGATTTCAGCTCTCTCTCTCTCCCCCCCCCCGTACTTTGCCCCCATCTTCTTCTCCCCCCGATCCCAACCTTTGTACGATCCCAACCTCCATACTTCTCTATCCTCGTTCAGTCTCTTCCTCCGTACGATCCCAACCTCCACACAAATCCACTCTTCTCTCTCTCTCTCTCTCTCTC